CGCCCGCGCTCCGCTGCCTCCTCGGCTATAAAACCGAGCGCCGCGCCGCCGGGACACGAGGAACTCGCCCACGCAGCAGGCACGGCGTCCGGAGGGAGGCCCGGGGGTTATGAGCCGCTCACTGCTCAGGACCTGCTAACGACGACAGGTAAACAAACGCGCACCTTTCCCTTTCTCTCCTCGGCTGCAGAATAAAGGCGGTAAGTGAAGACCTGCCGCACCTCTGCTCGGTGTGCGCGTCCGGAGCGCGGGCGGGCGGTCTGCAACCCGCGTCTTCCGAGGGCCCGCGGCACCCGCACGGGACGAGTCGCGGCGCTCAAGTACCCGCTTCAGGCTTTCGGATTGAATTTTAAATAAAATTGTGATAGTATAGGAGCTTCTGGAATTAAAAAAAAAAAAGAATACACAGTAGCTGTGATTATTTGCTAGTGTTGATATTTTTTAAGTCCTAAAGGGGAATAACTGTTTCACTCACTCTCTCACGTCTTCCAATGAGGAGGAAAAAAAAAATCAAGACTTATTTTGAGTGCGTGTATGTTATTCCCTTCGAGAGGGTCAAACTCTCCTTTGCAGTGACCGCAGGGGACATGGATACTTGGGTGTCCACACCCTGAAAAATAGTCGGGTCGAGTAACAGTTTAGCTGAAAGGGGCTGGGGAGCGCCGAAGGGAAAGGGACCCAAACTGCTACCTGTTACTGCTCTGGGTGCTGTAGGCCAAGTCCCCGCAGGCACGGATGGAGCCAGAGATGCAGGTGTGATTCACCAGGCTTTTTATATTCGGTACTAGAAGCAGCAACTTCGCCATTGCCCACCGCTGACCATCATAATTACTCGGTGCTTTGAAGGGAGGTTTGAGGCGAACTTTGAAAGCCTAAATAAAGAGCCAGAGGCCCATTCGATGGGCTGGTTATTAGACCAGAGCTTTTCGCACCTGATCCCCGGCGCGTGGGAGAGCGCTCGCGCTGGCCCCGGCTCCCGCCTCGCACCAGCGCCTTTGTACGAGGTGGAAATTTAGGGGGAAGGGCCAGGGATGGGAAGCCGGGCGAGGAGGGGCGAGGGAGGGACGGAAGGCGAATGCCCACGTCTGTTGCCACATTTTTCGTTGATGGAAAAATAATTCCGTCAAAACTACCTCCACTCCCCTCCTTCCCGCATTTGCTCTTCAATCTCTTTTCGCTCTAATCTTCTTAAAAACATTGCCAACGTTAGTAAATTACGTAATGGCTGTTCCAGTTAAACCGCCAAGTCCCGAGAAGCCCGCGCAGAGTTGGGAACAGAATGTGCGATTTTCAGACTCGTGATTTGGGTAGAGTTGTGACTGACTCTGGACACATGCTGATAAACATGAAGTCTCTGAAACGTACCCTCACCTCCACACGCACCAGCCTGCCGGGCAAGCCCCATCACCACGAGTTAATCACGACGGAGCACGCTCACACGCCCGAGCGAGCACACATACACACGCCCACCGCCACGCACCAGCACCCCGGCCGGCTCCTCTCCCGCGTGCCAGCGGGGCCCCCGCGCGCATCCTCAGCCGCTGCCTTTAACTTCTCCCCGCAGCGTCCATTTTTGCAGTGAGCTGGAGAAGTGGGATCAAGTGGGAGCCGCGGGTGTATGTAGCTTTCCGATAGATACAGCGTGTTTCTCCTTTTCTTTCTGCTTGCTCCTCTCCCCTGTCGAATACAGGAAAGGGAAACATGACCAAGTCGTACAGCGAGAGCGGGCTGCTGGGCGACCCTCAGCCGCAGGGGCTCGCGAGCTGGACGGATGAGTGTCTCAGTTCTCAGGACGAGGAACACGAGGCGGACAGGAAGGAGGACGACCTCGAAGCCATGCACGCGGAGGAAGAGTCGCTGCGGAACGGAGGGGAGGAGGAGGACGAAGACGAGGACCTGGAGGAAGAGGAAGAAGAGGAGGAGGAAGAGGATGAGCAAAAGCCCAAGAGACGCGGCCCCAAAAAGAAGAAGATGACCAAGGCGCGGCTGGAGCGTTTTAAGCTGAGGCGCATGAAGGCGAACGCGCGCGAGCGGAACCGCATGCACGGGCTGAACGCTGCGCTAGACAACCTGCGCAAGGTGGTGCCCTGCTACTCCAAGACCCAGAAGCTGTCCAAGATCGAGACGCTGCGCCTCGCCAAGAACTACATCTGGGCGCTCTCGGAGATCCTGCGCTCCGGCAAAAGCCCTGACCTGGTCTCCTTCGTGCAGACACTGTGCAAGGGCCTGTCGCAGCCCACCACCAACCTGGTTGCCGGCTGCTTGCAGCTCAACCCTCGGACTTTTCTGCCCGAGCAGAACCAGGACCTGCCGCCGCACCTGCCGGCCGCCAGCGCTTCCTTCCCCGTGCACCCCTACTCCTACCAGTCTCCGGGGCTGCCCAGCCCTCCCTACGGCACCATGGACAGCTCCCAGGTCTTCCACTTGAAGCCGCCGCTGCACGCCTACAGCGCCGCTCTCGAGCCCTTCTTCGAAAGCCCCCTGACTGATTGCACCAGCCCCTCTTTTGACGGACCCCTCAGCCCTCCGCTCAGCATCAATGGCAACTTCTCTTTCAAACACGAACCGTCCGCCGAGTTTGAAAAAAATTATGCCTTTACCATGCACTATCCTGCAGCGACCCTGGCAGGGGCCCAAAGCCACGGATCAATCTTCTCGGGCGCCGCTGCCCCTCGCTGCGAGCTCCCCATAGACAATATTATGTCCTTCGATAGCCATTCACATCATGAGAGAGTCATGAATGCCCAGCTCAATGCCATCTTTCACGACTAGAGGCGCGTCCGTTTCACCATGCCTGAAACGAACTCCCTGCGCCCACAGCGACTGTCCTGTTTACAAAAGGCAGCCTCTCGCTACCACTGCTGCAAAGTGCAAATACTTCGAGCTTCACGTGATATATGTATTTATTGTCGTTACTGCCTTTGGAAGAAACAGGGGATCAAAGTTCCTGTTCACCTTATGTATTATTTTCTATAGCTCTTCTATTTTAAAAGATAATACAGTAATGTTAAAAAAAAAAGTGCACCACGAATTTGGTGTCGCTGTATTCAGATCATTAATTGCCTGATCGGGATAACAAAATCACAAGCAATAATTAGGATCTATGCAATTTTTAAACTAGTAATGGGCCAATTAAAATATATATAAATATATATTTTTCAACCAGCATTTTACTACTTGTTACCTTTCCCATGCTGAATTATTTTGTTGTGATTTTGTACAGAATTTTTAATGACTTTTTATAATGTGGATTTCCTATTTTAAAACCATGCAGCTTCATCAATTTTTATACATATCAGAAAAGTAGAATTATATCTAATTTATACAAAATAATTTAACTAATTTAAACCAGCAGAAAAGTGCTTAGAAAGTTATTGTGTTGCCTTAGCACTTCTTTCTTCTCTAATTGTAAAAAAAAAAAATTGCACAATTTGAGCAATTAATTTCACTTTAAAGTCTTTCCCTCTCCCTAAAATAAAAACCAGATGCATAACTGTCAAGAGGATGAAAAAAAGAGATACATTCCTTATCAAAACATATCAATTCAATACATTACTTGCACAAGCTGTATATACATATTATAAATAAATGCCAACATACACTTCTTTAAATCAAAAGCTGCTTGACTATCACATACAATTTGCACTGTTTCTTTTTAGTCTTTTACTTCTTTGCATTCTATGATTTTACAGAGCATCTGAAGCTATTGATGTTTCCAGGAAATATAAATGCATGATTTTATACATAGTCACACAAATGGTGGTTTATCATATATTCATGTAATAAATCTGAGCCTAAATCTATTCAGGTGTTTATGTTGGGATTTATACCTATTGTAGTCAATTAGTACAGTAGCGTAAATAAAATTCAACCATTTAATTCATGATTAGAACAATAGCTATTGCATGTAAAATGCAGTCCAGAATAAGTGCTGTTTGAGATGTGATGCTGGTACCACTGGAATTGGTCTGTACTGTAATCTTGTTTGTAATCCTATATATTATGGTGTAATGCACAATTTAGAAAACACTCATCCAGTTGCAATAAAATAGTATTGAAAATCAAAGGAATTGTTGCATTTATTCCTGAAGTTTTTTAAAGTGTGAAAGTGAAGATTTTTAAAATGTAAAATTATTCTTAGGGGAAGTAGTTGCTTTATTTGCTGAGTTTAAAACGCTATCACCACATGTATAATAAAGTGAAAAGAGAAAAACTTGGTTCTGGCATATGCTGTACTCAGGTTGTCTTACTCAGAGATTAACCAATTCTTTGTAAGTAATGGAAAGACTTAACCAATTTTTCATTATTTAAAATACAAGGTTGCAGAATGAGCAAGGCAAATAATTCTTTTTGTTTTTAAGTGCTTTCACCTTTACATTTTTAAAGGACTTTACATTCTTTTAAAGGACTGTGCTGCATGTTTTCTTCTATGTTTTTAAAAAGGTGAATTGGGTTGCTTATTACCAAGCAAAACACAAGAGTAACTTATCTAAGTTTGTCTATACATTTAAAATATATTAACTCACTACCATTTTCTTGGTGCTCTGCTACCTGTGCCTTTTGCTGAACTGAAAAGGTCCCTCTTACAAAACATTTCTGACTCAAAGAGAAAGTTATATACTTTTAAAAACACCAAAGGAAAATGATTTAATTAACTGAAAAAATCCAAGAAGTAGCCTTTTCAAAATTTTCATAAAATCTTGCGATGGCTCCCATAGTTTCTCCTTAGAAAAATGATAGTGCATGATTTTTATGTAAGATCATCATATTTATATTTTACTGTAGGAAGGTCCCTCTGGGACACTGTTCTCTTTTTTCATAAATATAACTCATTGGAAAGTAATTTACAGATAACTTTGTCCATTTTTAAGTCCACTGAAAAAGTAGTTTGGCTTCGCCTCTCCTATAAGAAGTGACTGACAGTCATAATTTCTAGGGAATAACATTTTGGCATTTGTACCCTGGCCCTACCACGGTGCTCTGATTCCTATCATTAGTGACTCCATTGTTCCTCCTCTGATTTGGATGCCACATTGGATGACTACCTCCATTCCCAAGCTTGTTCCTTTAATCTTGTTCTCATTGATGATTTAGGGGTTCCGGAAAGCTGACCTCATTTAGCAAGCAGAAAAATGTGAGTAACCTAATGGATGGGAACAATCAGCCATACTAATAGCACTGCCAAGGGGGCTGCTGTGAAAGTATCAGTATGGAACATTTCAGTGTTAAAAAATGTTTGAGAGTAGTTTAAAATACATCATTTTAACATGTTTTCTATCATTCTTCATGACATGACAGAAACACATTTAAGTTAGGCCCAACTTTATCTGAAATGCAGCCATCCAAGTGAATCAGAGGTGTTATTTTGGAATCAAGCTGTTGCTTCTACTCTCTGGATTGTTCTCGCTGTTCTTACTTTAAGAGATATAATACTCATATTTGAACACTGCCAGCCTTGTAGAATAACAGACCATGAAGTGAACATTCAAATCTGATTTGATCTATTAAGCAGCTCACTTTCACCTATAATTAAAATTAGACATTTTCATGCAAACTAAAAACTGTTGCTATCGTGAACAGAAGATATAAAGAATGACCTTTTAAGAATTCCAGCTTTTAAAACATCAAGCAAGGAAATATGGCCCATGCATTTTATTTCACAAGGTAGAAAGTTCATATTTGATTTTTTTTCATTTTGCCTATACAGTTTCTCTCTAATACAGGGATTCTTTCAGTCAGTCAAGGAGTCACTCACATGCCACCATCTTTTATTCAAAGGCAGGCACAGATGTTCCTTCTGCAGGGGAGGTTTTAATTTATGAAAATGATATTGTTTATGCATGAATGAACTGCATGCACCCTGCATAACACATAGCACTTCCATCTGATGAGAGAAATACCACAGAACCAGTGCCAATGTTAGAAACATATTCTGCAAATTTACTCACTTAAATGTTTAATGAATATTTGGAAGGCATTTTCAAACCACAAGAAACCCTTTAAGTTATCTTCATCATTTCTTTTATGAATTGCTTATCCATGTTTAAAAGAGATCTTTGTAGCTTCTACAAACTGGGAATGCTTGTATGTAGCTGAAAAGAAAATGTTTTACTGAGTGAAAAACCAACCACAAAAAAGAAATGCTGGCAATTTTGGCTTGGTTGGAAAAAATATTTCTTGTAGGTTTGCTGTGTAGTGCTTGTTACAAGTAATATTTGGTGTCTCTGTGTTCCTTCGTCTTGAGCAATTACTATTCTTATCAAGTAAGATACTTAGATCTATTTATTTAATGTGAAATTCATCCAAAGTGTTATTTCTAGAAGAAAGTGATATTTAAAACTGGCAGACAATTTCATAGTTTGAGATGAAATTTGGATAAATATTTTTAAAGGTGCATAATTATTTTCAATAGTAATAGTCTGTATTGCTTAGATTTTATTTATATCAATTGTAAATATACAGTATGATCTATCTACTTTTACTTCTTATAAGACAATTGCACAAATTTAATAGAGGATTATAATATTTTTGGAATATTTTACTAATTTTAGGTTTCTAATACATTACAGTAAAATAACACTTGGAAAAATTTTTTTAGCATTGTAATTTAGTGATTTAAACAAAATCTCCCTGTTTTCAACATCTGAAAGCCTATGAACATTCTTAGAAAATTAATGTATTTTCTGAAGGAAGCTAGCAATTACTAAAATGATTTATGGATCATTAGCTAACAGTTTGAACCAAGCTGTTTTAGTTCTATAATTATACAAGAGTTTTTAAGTGAAAATATCTATTAAACAATTAATAAAACTAGGTTTCAAAATAAAAGCTGATTCTGTCTTAATGGGAAATGTAAAATAGCAAAGCTGTTTCTGAAACCACACTAAAAGCTCCTTTCTTCTCATTTTTCTACATCTACCACTACCTACTTCCTGAAAACCATTTAAATAATATCTTTAATTCCAGTGTCTGATGAAAAATAAAAGAGCCAATGCAACATCTTGTGCAACACCAGGACTGAGAACTCTTGTTACCATCGCGAAGAGGCATTCTGGCGTCAGATGCACAGTGATTTGTATGGTAGCATAGTCATTGGCTCCTGGCCAGGCATTATGTTTCAGAGGACACTATTGTCAAGAACCATTCAACTAGAAATCTGCACTGTATGCACTCAAAAGTTGAGATCATCTGCTTTCCTATGTCAGGAAGAATTCTGTGCTGGCTATTGACTCGTGGACCCTCTTCCCATACGGTAACACTTGGTTCGATGGCTTTGATGGAATTAACTGGGGAGCCAAACTAGTGGCATTGACAAGACAAGGCCACAGTCTCTGGGGACCTCCTGGTTAAATTGCTAATTTTAAAGTCCCTTAAAGCGCAGAGTATTATGTTAATGCTGGACTAAATCTTCAGATATGTTAAGTGTGGATTTGGGCAAATATTATGGGGCTATTTACTCAACTAATTTAGAGGTGGAAAAATAGTGCTGATAATCATCTTGATAGATCCCCAGGCTTGAATGGATCTGATTGTGAAATGACAAGAGATGAGCATGTAAACATAATCCAGTATATGTGCGGTAACATGGTAATTTACTGCTAACAGGATGAAAAGCTAACCTTCTATAGACTTTCACATCTCAGGAAGGTGGCCTCACACACCTACCAGGTCAGCGCAAGGTACTTTCACCCATTTGCGCATGGAATAATCAAAGCTCCCCTGAGCCATATTTTACAGGTGGGAAAACTGCAGGAAGCTGAGATACCTAGACTTGCCTTCCTGGTTTCCCTTCTTCATTCAGGGTCTTGTTTCAGTTCTACTTCCTCAAAGAAACCTTTTCTGATCCGTATCTAATACATCAACCAAAAATGAACCCCACAAAGTCAACAAAATGCTAGTATCCCTCCCTTTTTCCAGAGCACGTATATCCATGGTGTCATCTTGTGCATTGATTTTAGCTCACGTTTAAGCTATCTATCACCCCAGTA